AAGGTTTTTTTATTCATTATATTGAAATTTAAAAAAAAATACAGTTTTTAAAAATATATTTTAACAAAGAATTATAATAAAAGTCTCAGAATGCTAAGACCTGCGAGTTAAAATTAAATTGAATAATTTTAATTGTTTATTTATATTACATTACTTTAAAATTTTTATTTATTAAATTATTATTTATTAACAGATCACGACTGCTATTAAGGAGTTAGAATTAAATGTACTTTAATGTTTAAAAAATATTCAGTATTGTTTAGTTAATAAGCATTATAACATAGCATAAATAGCTATATATGCATTTTTTATGTATATAGAATTGTAGCATAACTGAATTTTGTAGATTTCCTGCAGGGAGGATTCTCTGTGGTTGGTAAATGAGAGTAGTTTTGTTTTGTAGGCATTAAAGTTTACAAGCCATTTTCTGCCCGAGTCAACTACAGATTTGTTGTAAAGTAGTTTTCGCAGTGGAGGCTTGTATTTTACTGAGTCGGTCCTAAATTAGGTTCGACGTACAAAACGTTAGGAACTTGCAATAATAGTTAATGACACAGCAATCTAGTTGTGGGGCTCATACTTTAATGTCCGATATCGACTGACTCACACAACTCACTCAGCTTCACTGGCGACTGCTACTACTACTACTTATCTGTGGGAGAGTCTATTTACAATAGAATAGGTACGTTCCGGTATAACAAGATTGGAAGTCGAGACCAACGGCCAGGTTAGTTTTGACAGCGATGTTGGATTTACTATTGAAGCAGAAGTAAATAGTATTGTAGTCTGCGTAGATGCCTACTTGGGAACTGATGACATCAGGAAGATCGTTGATAAAGATCAGAATCAGCGTAGGACTCAAGAAAGGGCCTTGGTGAACACCAGCGTTCGTATAAAAGGAACTGGAGGAGATCCCGTTTAGGATGACCTTCATTTCACGGTTTGTCATGGATGATTGTATTAAGTCAAAAAATCGTCCTGCAATGTAGTATCCTTGAAGCTTACGAAAAAGGTCAGTATGCAAAACGATATCGAGCACTTTAGAGATATCACGAGCCACAGCTATTGTTATTGTCAAGTGCTTGGTATACAAATTCGGTAATAGCTGTGAGCACGTCAGAGGTAGACTGGACGAAGCGGAAACCATATTGCTTGTCAGAGAGTAGATCATGGTGGAGTTATATTTTATATTCTATATTTATATATGTGTAATCATACTTTGAATCAATTAGCAATATTGCTAATTGATTCAAGGTATGATTAACTCTTTGTAATATATATATAAATATATATGTAAAATTTTCATTACTACTCCGATATGCTTTTTGCTTTTAGTTATAATGAAAATTCTGGTAATTTTGAGGCATCATTTTAAACAGCACTGCTTTTGTGCTTTTCTGGGAAGAGAAGGAAATGAACCCATATCTGACCATGCTGACCAGAAGTAGTTTAAACGTTTTAAGGATGACAACTTTTAACTTGAAATAATGTCCAAACCTGTACGGCAGTTGTCGATTATAATGGTTTAAGACGCAAGGTCAAAGAAACCCAGTATTCAAAACTTTCACATGAGTTGATTAAAAAAATGAAAATATTTTTTATACCCTCCACGTTCTGACTAAGGTACCGTGATATAAAACTATGGATAGATTTCGAAACACTAGCAAATGTGATAGGAATTAATTACCACTGTCAGGCTCGATTTCAAATAGATATTTAATAAACTTATGTTAATCTGACGCAAGTAATATGGCTAAATTCACGTTAGAATCAACGAACTAAAAGAATATTTTTCTGATATATAGACAGAATAATGTAGCTCTTGGCGAAGATCGAACTGATAACGCTAGCAATGACCCGTTATAGTATGTTGCTATCCATCACTCTATAGAATGTCGCCTTATAAAGTATTTACATATGTCTGTAGACCTTGTTAGTTCATATGAGCTTGAAAACATTTTTGATGAAATTACGAAATTTCGGCTAATTTGTAAGTAATGTGAAATATCAGACTACGACAATGCTTATTATGAATTCTGTAAGTTTTCTAACTTACGACTAGATTTTGACAAGGCAGATATGAATTCTCTCTATACAAACACGATTTTATCGACTGAAGCATTACTTATGTATTGCAGTTTTTATAATTTGATTTAAAAATAAGCACAGATGAAATATTTATTAAAATATTCTTTTAAAAATTAGATATACCACTTCTGTTGTCAACGACACTTGCTAATAATAATATATAAAAGAACTAATGGCTAATGTTTCATAAATTATTGGGGTGTCTTTTGTTATCTATCTACGTGTTTGAATCAAAATAAAGTAACTGCTATTCACTTTCCTGTCGTGTTTCTGTCTTCAGTCAGTCTACGAAAATCTATGGCGATACTTGGTCCCGGGGATTCCAACCCTGCTGCAGAACCTCCCTCATTGCAAACCGCAGCAGTGGTCGCGGGGAATGGGCAGTTTAAATAAATATCCACACAGGACGAACTGTTTTGTTCTACTGATGCAAGACGATGTTGCACAGACAAAATTTAGCCTTACGCGAACTTATAAATGATTGTATACTTGTGTTATACTAAAATCTGATGTATTTTTTGGTCCAAACTAATATAATCGATAAAAGATCGTGGATGAGATTAAGGAGAATGCTATGAAATATCTGACGGTAATCCCGAATGAAGACTTTACAATTTTAGAAAATTGTAAGTGATGATGCAAGGTCTAAGGTACCATTGCTCTACTCAATCTATTTTTAGTTAATATTAAATAACTACATTTTGGGACAGATTTCACACTAACAGCTTACTAGCAATAAAGATGAGTAGAGAAAACATAACTTGATTGCTGAATAGATTTGTAATGATATACTGTATTTCTCAATATCGATAAGTGCGTTTTATCTAGATTAAATATTTAGAATCTATTTCAAGGCTGACTCCTCATTCTAGAAATAATAGTTTGATACACAACATCAATTGAACCAAATCTATATTACTTCCAGTATAAACTGTACATGATTTATTTTTTATTATAGTAAATAATAAATTATAAGAGTTGGATGAGTCTAATGATGATTACGAAGGGGTTTGGGGTGATCACTAGTGATGGCGACGTTATACCTCCATTCATTTTCCCACAGGACCTCAAACTCAACACGGAGGCCAAAATCAAGTGCATCATGCCACACATGCAGGAGAAAACTGTCATGGCTATCAAACAATTACTGCGACCATATCAACTCTTACATCTGACCACCTAACTCACCAGACTCAAATTCCCTTGAATATTAAAAAAAAAAAAAAACTTGTTATAACACTGATGAACTGAATGCAAGGATTATGGCAGCATTCATCAACTTAAACAAGGAGGCCGTCCAGAATAGTTGAGGGAGTTCCGAAGTCGTTTTGAGAGTCGTAGTTGAAGCCAATGGCGGTTTTATTGAATAAATTTACTCTTCAGTTGTTCAAGATATTTTTGAATAATTTTGGTAAATATATCTGTTAAAATGAGATGTCAGTGTTATTTTCATTTTTGTATTATTTCGTCGCACTAGGTATATATTTCCCAGTGCCTTTTCTAAAAATACTTTCATAGTAATTGTTCTGGTGAAATCACTCCTTTGGTTCTTAGACTTTATGAATTTTAAGTACTAGATTTGCGGCAAGGTTTTAGCATTTTCAATTTGAAATGGCTAGATGTAACCGTAAGTTCTATGTTAACAGTTTCTTCTCTCGCAATTCAACTTTGTAGAACTCTTTTTCGGCTACTTGCTTTCCAGTTAACTTTGATCTTCAAAATGTTAAATGCAATGTCAATCGTTATATTCTGTCTTCTTAATTCTTTTTCTTTTATTGTCCTCTCTCCTTGATAGTAGTTTTTTCTCATACTCTCTAACACTCAATAACCCCTTGCGTTCTAGTGGCTTTATTGCCTTTGATCTTCAAAAATTCAAATGCAATATCTATTGTTATCTTCTGTCAATCCTTATTCTTTTATTGCCCTTTCTCCTTAATAGTAGTTTTTTTCATATTCTCTAATACTCAGTAACCTCTGCGTCCTAGTGGCTTTATTGCCTTTGATCTTCAAAAATTCAAATGTAGTGTAAATCGTTATCTTCTGTCTTCTTCTTTCTTATTCTTTTATTGCCCTCTCTCCTTAATAGTAGTTTTTCTCATATTCTCTGATACTCAGTAATCTATGCGTCTTAGTGGCTTTATTGCCTTTGATCTTCAAAAATTCAAATGCAGTGTAAATCGTTATCTTCTGTCTTCTTCTTTCTTATTCTTTTATGGCCCTCTCTCCTTAATAGTAGTTTTTTTCATATTCTCTAATACTCAGTAATCTATGCGTCTTAGTGGCTTTATTGCCTTTGATCTTCAAAAATTCAAATGCAGTGTAAATCGTTATCTTCTGTCTTCTTCTTTCTTATTCTTTTATGGCCCTCTCTTTTTAATTGTAGTTTTTCTCATACTCTCTAACACACTCCCTTGCGTCTTATTGGCTTGATTGTCTTGCAAGGGATGAAAGGATTACTCTGCCACGACAGAAAAAAAAGAAAAGATTCGTAATGTTTATTTAATAATTGTTACGAAGCGTTATAGTGTAATGATGACCACATCCCAGAACAAACAGAAGCCATAAAGTAATTTATTGAAGTAAAAAAAACAAAAAAACAAAAACAAAACCGAAACAAAAAACTATGATCTCTTGGCTTGAAAAGGAAAGAATAAAATCATTTTCTGAGTTTGTTAATATCTAAGATAAGAACGAATATTTTATCCGTCTGTGTCTTTTCATTGGTGTGCATCTGAATCATTATGATGATTAAGTTTGGAAAGGTCCTGGCGTGGTAGAGGTGTTCTGTATTTAAACACGATGTTTATCGGCGTACAACCAAAATGTGTTTTTTTTAAAACACTTTTATACCAAAGAGAACATCGATGACCGGTCAGAAGTTATCATAAGGCGAATTAAAATTCTTGTTTTGGTTAGAGTGGAATAGAGAAAAGAAATAAAGCCTGGGGTGAAAAAGAGAGATAGGAAAATAAAGAAAGAGATAGTGGAAAAGAGAAAAGAAGAGAGAGAGAGAGAGAGAGAGAGAGAGAGGGGGTAGCAATAAAGTAAAGAAAGAGAGCCAGATAAAGATAAGAAAGAAAAAAAACAGAGAGAAGAAAGACAGAGAGATAAAAATTACGACGAGAGGGAAAAAAACGTAGAAAAAACGAGAAAGAAACGAAGAGAGAGAGAGAGAGAGAGTGAGAGAGAGAGAGAGTGAGAGAGAGAGAGAGGGAAAGAGAAAAGAGAGGGAAAAGAATAAAAATAATAAAGAAAAATGAGAGTGAGAAAAGAAAAGAAAAGAAAAGAAAAAGAGACTGAGAGAAAAGGAAATAAGAACAAAGAGAAAGAGAAAGTGTGAGACAAAGAAAAACAGAGAGAGAGGGAAGAAAGGAAATAGAAGAAAGACAAAGAAAAACAGAGAGAAGGGGAAGGATGACAGAGAAGAAATAAGTAAAGACAAAGAGAGGGCCAAGAAAAAAGAAGAAAGAGAGGGAGAGAAGAAAAGATAAAAAGAACACGAGAAAGAAAGAAATAACGAAATGACCGCGAATAATAAAAGAGAAATAAAAAAGAGACAATGAAAAAAAGAAAGAAAGATCGCAAAGAAGGAAAGCAAGAAAGAAAGAAAAAGAAAGATGGCGTAGAAAGAAAACAAGAAAGAAAGAATTTTGTATAATCAAAAACAGAGAACGAAGAAAAAGAGTGAATAAAAAGAAAGAATGAAAAAAGAAGAATCATTGAAAAGAAAGAAAGAAATCTGTATAATCAAATAGAGAAAAAGAAGTAAAAGAGACAGTGAAAGAAAGAAAGAAAGAAAGAAAGAAAGAAAGCAAGAAAAAAAGACAGAGAAATCAAACACAGAGAAAGAAGAAAAAGTGACAGTGAAAAAAAAAAAGAAAAGAAATAAGAATGTAAGATTGAAAAGAAAGAAAGAAAGAAATCTCTATAATCAAACACAGAGAAAGTAGAAAAAGAGCCTGAAGAAAAAAAATAAAGATTGCATAGAAACAGCAAGCAAGAAAAACATGTATAATCAAAGGTAGAGAAAAAGAGACAGTGAAAGAAAGAAAGAAAGAAAGAAAGAAAGAAAGAAAGCAAAAAAGAAACCTGGGTAATCAAAGACAGAGAGAAAAGAGAAAAAGTGACCGTAAAAAAAGAAAGAAAGAAAGAAAGAAAGCAAAAAGGAAACCTGGGTGATCAAAGATAAAGAAAAAAGAAAAAAGAGACAGGAAAAGAAAGAAAGAAAGAAAGAAATAAAGAAAGAAAGAAAAAAAGAAACCTGGGTAATCAAAGACAGAGAAAAAAGAGACAGTAAAAGAAAGAAAGAAAGCAAGTAAGAAACCTGTATAATCAAAGATGAAGAAAGGAAGGGAGTAAAAGAAAGAAAGAAAGAGACAGTAAAAAAAGAAAGAAAGAAAGCAAGTAAGAAACCTGTATATTCAAAGATAGAGAAAAAGAGACAGTGAACGAAAGAAAGAAAGAAAGAAAGAAAGAAAGAAAGAAAGAAAGAAAGAAAGAAAGAAAGAAAAAAATGCAAGCAAGAAAAAAACCTGTATAATCAAAGATAGAGAAAGAAGAAAAAGAGACAGTGAAAGAAAGAAAGAAAGAAAACAAAAAAAGTCTTGGAGATAAGCGCCGAGCGAAGAATCTTCATAAATTCAAACGTTTATTCTTGGCTGACTTACCTGATTATTATTTTCAATTCACATTTTTATTTCTGCGAACACAGATTTCGAAAACAAGAAAGAAAAAATCGCTTAGCTACATATTTTCGTATTTTGTTTTTGAAGATGAAATAACGAAAGATCATAAAAATGTAAAACGACCTTGAGAAAACAAAACTAAAAACTAAAAAGAAAAAAAGCCCTAAAACAAAAGAGAAGTCTGTGACCCAAAAAGATTGCCATAAAAATTACAATAAATTGCAAGTCGCTATGAGCAACACAAAGTTAGTAACAATTTTCACTGACAGTTAAAAGCCGAAATCTCTTTGAATGATATGGTTCTCTCGATAAGGGCTTCAGTTTTACAGGTGCGCATGTTAGTTTTGATCATGAATCGAACAGATGAAGGGTGCTTTTTTCTTAAGCTTTCTCTCTTTTAATCGCGTTGTTAATCCTTTGGAATGAGGTATAAAGAGAGTAAGATCATTTGATTAAAGTAAAAAAAGCGAATTTCTGTGTTTTTTTTTTTTTTCATTTTCTTCCCATAATTATCACACACTAAAGTTTTTTTTTTAAAAGTTTATCCTTGTACGATGATTTGTCATTTTTTTTCTTTATTTTTTTGGCATTAATCAGATTTTATATGCGGGATAGTCATATCCCTTTAGATGTGACGATATTCGAAGGTCGGCGCGAAATCACGCGTTAATTCACGTTAGTCACGTATGAGTTGGCGCAGAGCGTTCACGGGTGAACGTAAAGTGAT